ACTATTTCTGGGTATGTATACCTCAGAACTCCCATTCAAGTATAAGTGAATGTATGTAGAAGGATGCATTTTGAAGCAAACTTTGTAAAATCCCCAAACTGGAAACAATTATCTATCTTCAATTGAATAGTTAAATATGCTGTAGTATAATTAAGTAATAGAAGATTATAAAGCAATTAAGAATGTATTAAAATGAACACATTTGATCTGTTTTTATGAACACAGGTATATACCAAAATAATAACACACAGTGCAAAAATAACAAGTTCCTGAATAACACATACGGCATACCATTTGTGTAAACTATGTGACCACATAAAACAATACTATTTGGGGCCAATTGGAATGTACACATAGAAGAATCACATCAAAAATGATAGTAAAAACATACATACAATCATAATAGAGGGAGTGGATGAAACATGCTAGATTATAAAGACAACTCTAAGTGTATCCGTAATATTTTATTTCTTATAAAGATGTAAAACCATATATGAAGAAATTTATCATTCATTAATGCAGCTTGATGATATGGGTTTTTCTCATATTACTCTGATTTTCTTCTGAATGCTTAAAATAACTCATAAATATTTTCAAAAATAAATTTTAAAATAAAGCTAATTAGAAAAAGAAGATAAAGGAAGTGGAACTGGGGATGGGATTGTCTTTCACTATTCAATTAAAAGAATTCTTTACTGTTTGACTACTATAACATGCATGAATTTCATTTGTAATTTCTTCAAAGCAGAGGATTTTGAAGAGAAATTCAGTCTGTTTCAGACCACCAATTCCCTCTTTGTTGCAACTTTTTCCCTAGTTTGACTGAACAATATGGCGGTTTGCGGTATCTCCCTCTTCATGAGAACTTGTAATTTTCTATGTGTCTTTGAGAAGTTCACAATATGTTGAAAATAAACATCAACATACGAAACCACTGGAGAACACTACACTCCTGGCATTCCTTCAAATCCTCCCTGATGATTTTCTCCCTAGTTCAAACCAACAGTCAAATTTTTCTTTTCCTAAGCCCAGCTATTAAGAAAATAATCACCGCAGTGCTAATTTGGTACGGGCCTTAATCCATCTTTAACCATCTCTGTGTGCTTTGGGTGACATCCTTCACTCCTGAGATTTTCATTACCACCATACACTTTGCCTCTCAAATGTGTAACTCCAGTCTGATCGCTACACTCAGCCTCAGGCTAGGCTTCAGCTTCACTATTAGACTTCTCTATCCAGTTACGTGAAGCAGAACACATTGTTTTACCCAATGTAAGAATGGGCATGGTTAGGGTCAGTACTAGTCATCTATAAATGGAAGCGAGGCAAGATGCAGAATCATGGACTGATCAATGCAGTTCATTTAAAGATGGCCTTAACTTTCTGACACTCTTTTCATTGGATCTGAAATTTTTGACCCTCTTCTCATTGAGAGGTGGGGCCCATGACTCTTCTTCTTGCATATGTGTGGATTTTATGACTGTTTTGATCAATAAAATATGGCAAATGTTAACACTGTGCCAAATTCTGAGCCTAAACCTTAAGTCACTCGTGGCTTCCATTTCCTCACTCTCGCCCCCTGTCGCCGTGAGTTCTGCCACTACGTCAGAAGTCCAGCTACCTCATGAGCACCATGCGGGAGAGGCCATGTGGAGCTTCCCCGGCTGCCGGTCTCGGCTGAACCTAGGGTTCCAACCACGCCCCTAAAGTAAGAGATCTGTGAATAAGCCCTCTCGAGCCCTCCAGAAAAATCCACCCACCAGCTGAAGACCACCGGGCGACCCTGCAGAGCCATGTGGAGCAGAAGAATCATGCACTGAGTCCTGCTCACATCTCTGACCCAGAAACCGTGAAATACAACAAATGATTTTAAGACACTAAGTTTTTGAATTTGTTATCGAACGATAGACAACAATATAACTCCCTCGTCTCCAGGGCTATTTAGTGGGCCTCCTAGAGCTATACATAGTTCTCAGCCCTGAAACGTTTTCCAATTGCCATGAGATATTAAAAAATATTTACGTACTCCCTCAACACTAAAAAAAAAAATCATATAAAATAAAATTTTAAGATTCTCTTTTATTCCCTATTTTCATCCCTTTCTTCATCTCAAAGTTAATCACTGCTCCTAATAATGAATATTTAGATTATTTCTAGTTTTTTATTAAATAAAACAGTGCTGCAGTAAACAGCCTTGTACATATTTCATGTAAATTGCAGATCCATAGAAGTCAAATTACTGAGGCATAAGTTATTAGAATTATAATACATGATACCAAATTGCTCTCCCCCCCCAACTAAAATCTTTTCTCATTTATGTTGTCACCAATATTTCACAATAGTGTTCATTTATCCAAATACTGGCCACCAATGGATGTTGTCATTTAAATTTTGCCACTTTGAGTAAAAAAAAGTGGTAGCTTATTGTTTTAATTGACATTTCTCTGATTATTTGTGAGGTTTGTAGCATCTTTTCATGTGTTTATTACTACTTGGGTTTCTTCTTCAGTGAATTCACTATAGATAATCCTTTTTTAGAAAAAAAATATTTATTAGATTGCCTCTTTGTATTTATTGTTTTGTGGTAGCTCTTTGCATTCTGAATATTAATTTGTTTGCTATTCTATATGCCACAGATACTTTTTTTCTAGTCTGTGGTTTGTCCTTTATTCATTAATTAATTTATTTAAAAGGTATTTATTGGAAACTTTGTGCCAGGCATTGTACTAGATACCGGAAATACAGATGTGAGTAAGACAAAGTCCCACTCTCTTGGACTTAGTTTATTGTGGAAGATATACAGTAAACAATGAAAGACAGACATAATGTTTTATAAGTGTTACAAAGAGTAATAGAGTTGGGTAAGTGACATACAATGGTGAAGTGTGCTATTTAGATGGGCCAGCTAGGGAGGCCATTTGAGCGCTGAAATGAGCTGATATCTGGAGGCAAAGCATTTCACTCTGAGGATGTAGCGTATGCAAAGGCCCTGAGATGAAGGAATAACTGTTGTGTTCCAGAAACTTGTAAGGAGGCTGGTTTGGCTAGAGCACCACAGGTTGTCAGCGGTAGTAAGATGCCACTCTAGAGCGACAGCCAGGGCCCAGAAAATTTAAGGTCTTGTAAATGGTGGACTGTGGATTTATTTCACTGGAGGATGAAAACTATTCAGCATTTTGAATAGGGAAGTAATGCAATCTGATTTCCATCTGAGAAGGACCAGGCTGGCCACGGGGCAAGATAGGCTGGGTGTGTGCACATGTGTGCAAGGAGGTGTCGGGAAGAATGGGAGCTGAAAGATCACAGGGAAAGTCATCGCCTTACTCGGGAGGTTATTTCTGTAGTCCAGGCAAGAGATAACTGGACTGTGGTAAAAAATCACCAGATTACAAATATATTGTGAGTGTAAAGCTGACAAGTGCAGTTGATGCATTATGAGGAGAAAGAGAGAAAAGATCATTCTAAGATGCTTGACCTGAACACTAGGTGAGTGGCGGTGCCCTTTGCTGAGGTGATGACTGGAAGGAAAAGCAAGGAAGAGCCTCACACATGTTGAGCTTGAGAAGCCTATTTGCTCTCTCACTGTCTTCTAGGCAGAAATGCGAAGGAGTCTGGAGTTCAAGGGGGAGGTGGTGGATGAGGTGGCAGGAACCTATGGGTCACTGGTGCATAGACAATATTTAAAGCCATGGAACTCTAGAAATCAGTGTAGGCCTGAAGGTGAAGCTGTCCAAGACCAAGTACCGAAGCACTTCAATGTCCATGAGGGAAGAACAGGAAGAGACCCATCACGGAGGCCTTAGAAGAAATGACCAGTGAGATGGGAGAAAACACAGGAAAGTGTGGGGTCCCAAAAGCCAAGGAAAGCATTTAGAACAGGGCCAGGTACACAGCCAATTAAAGTTAGTTACATAGCTGTTTTGTATTTATCCTTTTGAAGCCCTGTGATCCCCAAATAGTCCTTTCTTCTCTGACTTCAACTAGGACTGAGATCGTGATAGCTCTGACCAGTAGAATATGGCAGGAGATATTGTTCATATCAGATTCCAAGCTCAAATATTAAGTGACAAAGAAATAGATTTAAGTTGAAGATTCAGAAGAGACCATTGTTTTCAGAAATGTGAAGGTCATTGGTTACTTTGAAAAAAGGTTTTAGTGCAGAGAGACAAAATTCTTTATTTTATTTTTTTGAGATGGAGTCTTGCTCTGTCACCCAGGCTGGAGTGCAGTGGCACGATATTGGCTCACTGCAACCTCCACCTCCCGGGTTCAAGCGATTCTAGAGGGAGACAAAAGTCTAAGTGAACTGGTCTCTAGAGAGAATGGCAGAGGAGATGGGCACACAAAGTCCATTGTGGAGAAATTTTGCCTTAGAGAACAGCAAAACTCTTCAGGGCAATTTAATTGTTCTAAAGCAATAAGAAGGTTTACTTTGTTTTTGTAATATGGGAGATGTTCTTCTAAGATGTTTGTATGGTAATAACAATGAACCAATAGATTAATGGTGTCAAAGAGAGAGCAGACAATTGCAGAAGCAAGTCCTTGAGCAGATTGGAAGCTATGTGAGTCAGTGCACAAGCAAAGACTCTGAGTTTTGCTAAGAGCACAGGTTTTTCATCCATTTATAAGAAGCAACAAGTGAAATATCCACATGTACAGCAGGCGGACTGGTCGATGTGTTGGTCAGAGAACGAGGAATTGTTCTAATGTATTGATTCTATTTTCTCAGTGAAATAAGAAGATCATCAGCCGAGAATGAGAAGGAAGGAGTGGGTGTTAGAGATTTGTAAAGAAATGGGAATGAATGGGCTATTTGACTTGGGCAATGTAACTTCAGTACAAAACTTTTCAAGGCACCGTGAGCGGCAGCTAGAGATGTGTGATCACATCAAAGTTGGTCTGGTGTGTTCGTGTTCGTATTCAGCCATTTTTTTAGTCTCCAGCTGCATGGTTATGTTAATTATGGCATCTTGAATCACATAGAAGTTTTGTTTTTTCTCTCTCTCTCTTTGTGCAGTTAACTGAGATTGGCTAATTTTTCCTGTATGGATTCTTGCATATGTACATTCTAAGAAGACTCCTCTTCTACCTTGAAATTACAAAACAAAACAAACGAAAACTTCACTATTTTCTTCTAATCTTGTCATCATAAATACTAACATTTTATTCCATGTGGGCTTTTCTGTATTCATAAGCGTGTGACTTTATTTTTCTCAAAATGGATAATATGATGTTTCAACATTATTTTTCAAAAATCTACCTTTTCTTCTCTGAAATATCATATTTGTCATGTGCATAGGCTTACTTTTGGACTTCTGCGCTTGCTTCATTCGTCTTTCCTGCTTGGTTTATTTATGGTTTATTTATGTTAGCCAGGGTGGTCTCGATCTCCTGACCTCGTGATCCGCCCGCCTCAGCCTCCCAAAGTGCTGGGATTACAGGTGTGAGCCACCGTACCCAGCCTCACATTTCTTTCTTTTAGGTGTTTTACATCATCTAAAAACCAGATAAGTTGAAATAAAATTTAGTCACTAAATATTATTAAGAGAGGGCCACTTTGCAATAGATGAGTTCTGTGAATATCAGTATATTTCTACATAAAATGAACAAAGTACACCATTTGAAGCAGCCATACATACACCTGACATGTTTAATGACTGAATTTTATACCTGATTATAATTTTTTCCAGGTGCATTCAATATCACTGCTTTACAAAAGTAACAGAGGTCGCAGTGAATCACCAAGAGGAGGAGCCCATAACAAAGCTCCACTAGATGACTACTTTTTTAATCTGATGACCTGATTACCAGAAGCAAAGGACCTATTAAATCCTTTCTCTCTTAAAATATATTTTTCCAGAAAATATTAAATGTTCTTAGTATCAGGAACACCCCACAGAGCACTTTGTTAGACAGAATGCATGTATGCTATATGAAAAGTCTTCCTATATATTCCCCTCTCTCTTGAAAAGGAAGTGATTTAAACAAAAATTCCAGAAATTTCTAGGCTGGGCTTAGAATTTCCACAGTGGCCATTGATTGGGGAGAGAACAAAATAATGGTAAAAAGAAAAGTATCTGTCTTTATCTCCCTTTTTCTCTTATTCTCTCCCATTCTCTCTCTCTCTCTCCCTTTCTCCCCTACTCCCCACACATATGCTAAAATTAGAATATACAACTAGTTTTAGAACATACTAATTTCTCCTTTATTTATTATTTATCAATATAGGCATAACAGCTTAAGGGAGGCATTATCACAGTGTTTCAAATCACTGAATCTGACAGCCCTGGGATCATTTTTGTAGGCATGTTCTAACTTCCAAGAGTTCAACACAAGCTACATAGCTAACTGAGTTAAGCACTGAATAAAGACAACCTCGGTCTCTGGAGAATGTCTTCAGAAGAACAAGGTAACTGGGGTACTAGGTCACTGCAAATCTACCTCTGAAAATAAGTAAAACAGACAGAGGAGAAAATAGTCCATGCAATATTAATGTATATTACATTCAAAAAAGAAATATGCTCTGATTGCCCTGCCTCTGTAACCTGGTGCCCTAATTCTACACACTCTAAGACGTATGCACTCAAAACCATTTGCCTGATTTCTGTCCCTCCCTGAAATGTTTATTTCTCAAAAATTCTTCATTTCATCTTTTTTAGAGAGTAGAATCATCAAGATGCAAGTATGTTTGAGTGAAAAACATAACAACATTGCATCAGAAGGAGAGAAACTACTGCAGTTACCCAGAGAACTGCAAGTACCTGAAAGCTCACTAGGGATGGAAAATACAACTTCCCTCTAGTTTCTTCACTCTGGGTTTGTCGCAAGTTACACACCCTACAGAGAGACCCCTCACCTTTCCCCACACACGGTACCTCCTTTTCCTTCCCTTACTCAGTAGGAATGTGCTCTTTAAGGATTCTGCAAGAGCAGGACTGATGAGAAAAGTGCTTTAAAACACAGTGCTGTAGACTTCCATCCTAACCCAGCAGAGAGCACAGACACAGTATGTAAATGCTTAGTATATTTCTTTTCATGTTTGTTGTGATCGAAAATTCATTACTGACTTCACCGTTATAAACAATGAAACACCAAGCTATGAGTGATGATTTAAAGTGAAAATATGGCACAGGAGTCCCCAAAACACCGTATACTGCATCATGCAATAATGTAATAATCTCCCAAAGTCCCAAGCCAGCAAATATCCTGCCACAAAAAGCTGGTAAGGCTCTGCAAAGCAACACTTGCCAAGAAAAAAAGTTCCACTGAAATTTGTATTCAACTTATTATAGTGTATACCATTTTCTTTTGGCCTTTATAATTTCTCTGTCATTTAGTTTCCAAGACAGCATTGGTCGGCAGGCTTTATAACTGTTTTCTTCAGATGGAGGAGAATGATAATAAAGGTGACATTTCCACTGCTAAGTGCTCTTGGGTATGATGGTCCTGAAGAAACTGCTGCCTGTGGAGACTGCACTGATAGAACACGGGAGCCACAGTCTGTTAGGGAGAGAAAGCATGTCCTAAGACAGAGTTCATTCTTATGGAAATTTACATGATTTAGGATTTATGTTTCCATGTAAACCCATAAAATATAATCCATACAATTTTAGAACAACATTACACTCTATTTTATAAGGAACAGAAAAATCAGCTATATAATTTGCCATCTCCCTCGCCCAAATGTGTCAATACTTATTGATCCTTGCTTTTCCTTTTTGGTTGAGCTAATCAAGATAAATGTAAAAGCAACAGCACCTAAAAGAACAGGCACTCAGCATATAGTTGATTGAAAGAAATAAGAAGGAGATCCATAGAGAAACTATGAACATGAAGAAAAATGTTGATTAAAACAATATGGTCATTTGGCTGTCTTTCATTTACTTACATGAATGAGCCAGTAAAATCAACGTTTACTTCACTGTATTGAAAATGCGAGTAAATATAATTCAGTTGAAAATCAGAATCTACACAATTTGAGATAGAGCAACAATTAGAGAGTCATTGAAAAGTTAGTAAGGGAAGTGGAAAAAGATAAAGAGAAGGGGGCAATGTCTAGCCTAGGAAGAGGGGCCACTGAGTAGTGGAGAGGTATGACGGTGAAGACAGTCAGTGGGAGGCCTGATCAGACAGTATTTTCCAGTTCATCACTGGTTTCCTTGAAAGGTACCATTTTCATTCTGTAAAGGTTTCTTGGATAGGGCGAGTTTTTACATGAAGGGTTTGGAGGAAGTGGTGAGGCTGGCTGTCAGAGCGGAATATCATTCGTGAGCAGCAAGGAAGAATATCAATCTCTTTGCATGCTAGAGAGACATGAAGGATGACGAAATGAGCCCAGTGCACTAGGCTGGAAGGAAAGCCGCAGAGGGGCTGCGAAAGGATGCGCCATGGTAGTTAATACACAGCCACCTCGGGGGACGGCAGGCCTAACAATAACCGTGTCAAAACTCAATTCCATATCAATGAGAAAGATGTTGTGAGGAATTTAAATCAAATAAAAATAAAGGCCATCAAAGCATACAGAGAATAGGATAGCACAAAAAGAATGGTGCCCCGTCTCTGCCTCGTGAACTACATCATCCTTAAACTCCCCTGCTCTAGATTCTAAAGTCACTGTGACCAGGAGACCACGCAGCAACCTTCATGTTTCCAGAAATAGCAGCAGATGATGCAAGGTTTTCCATTAGGAACTGACCATTTTTAGCCTTTCTTCCTTAAGGAAACAATAAAAATAATGACAGCTTGTTTTATCAAGTGCTTCAGACTTGGCAAGCACTGCTCTGTACACTGCATACATGAACTCATACCATCCTCACAAAAACTCTATGCTATTATGATCCGCATTTCTCAGTTGAGGAAAACAGGTCCAGAAACGTTAAGTAACTCTCCCAGAGTCACAGAGCTAGTAAACAAGGAGGCGTGGGTTCCTCCTGAGCCCATGTTCATGACTAATACACATTGGCTGTCTCCCGAGACACCGACACCAGCACTCAATATGACCTTGGAAGATCTTGCACTGCCTTCCAAGGCCCTCATTTTCAGAGGCAGACAAGACCTATAGGTGCACACTGAGTTATTCCATCTCTATCAGATGCATGCCCGTGGAGAGAGTTCCTGGGCTAATGCCTAGGACCCAGGGAGAGTTTGACACATTTATCCACATTTGGTTCATTCCTGAAAGCATCAATCCAGTTTCTAGGTCTTAGAAAAATCATTTTCACCTGATGTCTCTTCCTAAAGTTGAGCATACCATAGGTTGAGCTTTAGAAAAACAAACCTGAATTTGTTATCTGATTTAATTTTTAAAGTGATAAGACCCATCTCTTACAGCTGTCTGTAAAAAATGGTCTTATCACTTTTAAAATTAGCTGTCAGCTAACCAAGTATCCAGTGTTTGCATAATATTGCCTGTATAGATTACATCGTAAGCTTATCTGGATTTGCTAATTATCACTATGCATTTTCCTATAACATGATATTGGGTTTCTGAATTTTCAAATTTATAGAAGGTGTTCCTTCACGTTTGTCCTTGCATGAGTGGTGTGATTCATTGCTGATTTACAAGAGCAAGTTCTTTCATATTAATGGCAGTAGAATGAAGAGGGTTAAGAAGATGGAAAAGAGAATGAAGAATAGGATTCGTGCTAAATGAATATGTGTATACACATGTATATAATATCTGAGTAGAAAAATATTATCTGAGCAAATCAGTTACAAAAAGACACTAATCTTTCATGAGAGAGAAAAATGTTGATAGGAATGCATTTTTTAAAAATAATCTGATAGATGTCGTCTCATTGAAGGTAATATTCACTGCTAAACAGCTTTTGCTGTTCTGCAAACCTCCATACATCCTTGTCTTGGCAATTTCGGAACATGTGGCATCTTCTTTCTTGGCTCCAATAAGTTGCAGTGTTTGCTACTCATCTTCTTTAACAGGAGTTCTTATCCTATTATGAAAATGGACATCTGAATGTAATAGGCAGTCCAAGTCCCTGAAGATATCTTGGTTTGAAGACAGAGAAACTTACAAATGAGGCAATAAAAAATAAATTGCACAACGTTGCATTTACTAAGTAAGCAAGATAATAGAGTCTGAAAACTGAAGGTGCTGAGTGAGCAAACTTCCCTTCAGAGCTGAGCCTTGATGTGACCCGCATGCTAATCCTGTCATGTGTAAGATTTATTATCGAGATGACATTCGTTATTGGCATTAGGTATTCAGTTTGTTTGACATTTTTTATTACTAACCTTCTCTTTTCCAAAACCGATAACTCAGTGGTAAAAATTTATATCTTCTGTTATTCTTAAAAGGCCAAATTTGACATACAAATTCTAGTGCTTAAAATGGAATTTTATTTCAGGGGAAAATTGAGCTTCATTTGAGTGAGACTCTATTCAATATTACAGAGGGTTACTAGCTAGCCTAACTGTTAAATCTAAGGATGAGAAGAGCAGTGGATACCACAGGGAATAATATTTTTATTTTTGTGTATATTCTGTAGACAGACTTGCAATTATATTATATTAAAATCCTGGTCTAGCAAGTTTGGAGGCCCTGGAAGAGAGAATTACTCTTGGGTGGCCAATGAAGTTATTTCTTGGAATGGGAGTCCAGAATAAAACTTTAGAGTACAGTCTTCCTGTTTTGAGGAAAGCCAGGAGACTTGTAAATGTGAAGAGCCCAAGTGACAACAGAGATGCGATAAAGACTTAGGACCAGGTGCAGGAATGCTCATGTGCTGCCGGGGAAGGCAAACATGTGAGTGGCGTGGCCTCTCCCCAGTGAGCTGGGGTTGGTGATGCTATCACTGTACATCAGGCCGTGGGCCCAAGACAGCATTTCTCAACCCTTTAATACCCATGCCCCCTTTAATACAATTGGTAATCTTGTCATTCCCACATAGTTTTCCCCAGAGTGCTCAATGCTAAGTCATATTAAGATGGAAATGTAATAGCTTCTCCAACACATGACTCTTCCTCATTTCTTTACCTCTTACAGTAAACAGATTTGATGGGTTCTCCTCTCAAAGCAGGCTTTAACTGGAGAGAAAAGAGTGAGAGGGAAAGTGCCTCTCACAGTGCCTGGTACACAGCAGGCTCTCAAAAACGTTAGTCCTCTAGCTGGGCTGCTGGTGGAAAAAGGTGGAAAAAGGAAAGCTAATGTTTTCAGCCCTATTAGATTCTGTACTTAGCAGACAATTTTTATTCAAGCCGGGGCTGGTTGTGGGTCTCTAACCCTGATGGGGAAAATCCCACTGGGCTGATTATCCATAGGAAACTAAAAGTTGTTACCAACAAAGAGAAGAAAGGTGATAAGAGACAGGGAGTTAGTAGAATTGTTGGCCCTAATATTTTGCTTAAGAGTTTTTAAAGGTGTTATTATCCTGAATCTTCATGTATTTTATTTATTTTGCACGCCTGTTTCTCCATGCTTGCTCACGTGCAAGCTTTTTGAGGACAGAATTGGATGTTCTACTTGAAAGCATCAATGACAGCCTTGAGTTCCAAGTCCCTATACACGTGTCCAGTGGACTTGTCCATCAGATTGAAGGCCAGTCTTGGCTCCATACTGCAGCCCCACCCCACTCCCTTTCCTGCAGTTTCTAGAAATGCCATATACAAAATTACTGTTCTTAGATTGTTTTAGCACAGTCTGGATATACAGTAGATTGGTTCAAATCACACTTCAAGTTGGGTGAAAAGAAATATATACCCTTTCTGGTCCATTTGCCCAGCAGTGCATACTTTTTGGATAAAGTGAATAACTAATAATGCAAATCCTAAATAGAGCACAAAATGCTTTATTCAAAGCAATACATGTCGATCACATCATGAATAAGCTTTGAATCTTTTAAATCTATTAAGAACTGGAGCTATAGGAAATCAATTGCCTATGAATTTTAAAATAACATTTGTCTTGCTAGATATTGTTAATTTTTGTAAAAAAAATGCAGCAAACTTGAAGACTCTAATTGAAAGTGTATAGTGTCTTTTAGTCATTTTTTTCATTTCTGCTGGGGCCTTACTTTAGACCTCAGCCACTTAAGTGTAGACCTATTAATGAACATGTGCATTCTTAAGAGTTTACAGCACTTAAAATCTTAAGACTATCTGTCTGTTTTCTACAACACAGCTCCTAGATGTGCTAAATTTATAATTCATTTCTAGCTACTTTAGAACTACAAAATCCTATCCAACAATTTATTCGGGAATTTACAGTGAAAGAAAACATTGGTTTGATCTAAATTGCAATCACCACATATATTCAGATTGACTGCATACTCTCAGGTTTGCACTCCACAGGGTTCTGGGCTTCCATCAGTCCCCAACCACCCAGCAAGGCTCTGCCTGATATACAGAGAATCACATTGGAAGGGCTAACCTGTCTTAGACTCAGAAAGACAAAGCTTCAATACACTGTCATGCTCTAAGTCTCCCTGAAGGCCTTCAGAGATGACACCACGTGATATGATTTGGTTCTGTGTCCCCACCCAAAT